GAGCTGTGAATGGGGAGGAAAAACGGACTGATGCTTATGTTATGAGATTGGTTTCGGATTAATGTAAAGCAATAAACCCAGAAGGTAATACGTTTGAGCTGTGGCTTGAACTTGAATGTTGTTTTGAGGGGAAACTAGGATAATTAACAACATGGAAATAGGCAGTGGACTTAGGGCAGGTGATGATGCTGTGACACATCTTACACAGTGAGAACACAATTCCTTGCATTCATTACCATTTTTGTTGCCCACCGTATTGGCATGGGTACACATATTGCAATTAATAACTGTGCTTTCTCAATAGTTCTGGGAAAGTCTGTGCTACTGTCATATACCACAGGGAGTAGTTACTCTTTTGCACAAACTGCTGTTAGCTGTGGGAAAACTTCTCATGCAAAGATCTAGAAAACAGGAGAATTTGATACAACACAGTAACACATCAAAAGTCATGTTTAAACGTACTTTATTTTTTGACAGTACTGCTTCATGGCTGTTCATTATCATAGGGAAAATACAGTGCATGTGCGGAGTCAAGAACTGAGAAGAGTTCCTATAATGTAGACTTGACTCTCTGAGTGTGGCTACAAAATTTGGTGAAAATACCTTATATAAAGGCAGGACCTCAATGATAATTTTAATTTACAGTCAGGTATGTACCAAGACAAAATCCTTTTCTTTTAGCTCTTTTCTCTTCATTTGTAGCCTATTGCTGCTACCTCATTACTACACTGTTCTTTGCTAGTGCAGTAAATCTGGAGACCTAATGGTGCACAAGCCCCTTTGAGGATAGCACTGACTTTTAAAATATTCATTTCTATGCGGATCAGGGATATCCCAGTCTGGCTGTAATCAGAGGAAGAAGGAAGGAGACAAATAATCACTGAACATGACTGTTTAGGGAGCAATTTCTGTCAAAAAAACAATCAGCAGCAAAGGTGGATATGAGCTGGCCTTGCACCCCCAAGCACAAGTAAGAGTGATGTGGGCTTGTTTGATAGCCATAATAGTATAATTGCTTCTTTCTGTTCCTTCATCCTCTAGCCAGCTGCTTCTCCTCCACTATGCGGAAATGCCTGTTGTTTCTGCTAACTGCTGAGTAATGTCGGGCTAGTGAAAGGTGCCAGACTGACAGCAGTGTGATCTGCACTTCTTTGTTTATAGCCAGGGTGAGGTATATCACCAGACCTGACAGTGCCCCTTGCTATACTGGTGAGATACACCTCTGACCTGCAGGGAGAAATCACGAACCAGAGAATCCTTAAGGGCAGTTCAGTTCTTGGTAACTTTTTTGTTGGTCAGAATGGTGCCAGCTGTGGTGGTGAATTGCATGTTCTGGAACACCAGTACAACTTTGCTTCCAGCCAGTGATCCAGACGGACATCAGCTCATAGACTGAGTTATTCCAAATGGAATAGACCTTTGTGCTATGAAATCAGTTTACAGCAAGTCTCCAGCCACTGGGAGTTGAACTGACTACCAAATTTATCTCAGCCAGGCTTAATGAACAGTCATCAGGTAGTAATGATCCTACCGATCTTGATTTAAATGTAAGTTATAGCAGGGGTTGGATTCCATATCCCTAGAGTAATTTCTTGTGCCATCCAAACCTCATCAAAGTGTCTTGGTGAAAATGATTTAAGCTAATATGTTGTACTGCATGTTGGCAAGCAGCTAAGGGAATCCGTGTATTGGTTACTGTGGCTCAGTGGTAATGTGTTAACTCACAATAACTTCATTGTGTGCCTCAGTCCTGGGTTTTATTCAGACAGAGGCATAACTCTAGGCTTTTTTTTTTTTTTTTTAATATCAGGATAACAATACTAGCAAGGTTGTGTCCATCAGTGCCACCTTCAGTGGGTAAACTCCAGGTTATTTTTTTTGAAGAGAGATATTTAAACATTCATTATCATAGTGAAGAAAAAAAACAACCAAACAAAAATTATAAAAACTCGTATCTGACCCTGTGTGAAAAAATAATACAGAGGGCACAGCAACTCCAGAGCTGGTTCAGCCAAGCAATGTCACATAAAGCTCTCTTTAATTTTTTATTTGGATCATGTCTGTATGTAGGTCACGATGACTTAAAAGAGAAGGCACTGACCAGACAAAAACAAACCTTTCAAAAAAATACCATTGCTTTAGGAGAAGGATTCTTTCTCAAACAGAAGACTGAAAATTAGTACTGAAAGAATTTCACTGTTCACTGCTATTTCAGTTAGTTGTGATTCCAGTTACCAGTGACTGAGCAGAGGGGGACCTGCAGTGGTTGTGTTCTCAGCTTGCCTGTCTCCTGCTTGTAAGCTTATCCAGTGCGCAGCAGCAAGATGCTCAGAAGCTGGTTCAAGCCATTTCTCTTCCTGAATTTTTGTGTTGAGATGACCCCATATAAATCATTTCTAGCTTGATCATCCTTCCTAGGAATAAAGAGATGTGAAACTTCTCACTGCAGCTCCCCATACTGGTCTACATTTCTGCTTTTCTTCAGTCCCTAATTATGGGGTCTGGACAAAAACCTCTCCTGCTGCTTCCACCCTTGTGAACATCATTCAGTGGCCAACAGCCACCCTAGTGATTCTGTGCTTTTCTGCAAGAATTACTCCTTTATGCAGGGACCCACATAGCCCATACATCTTTACTGAGCAAACTACTTTTCAGCTTTGAGGAGCTGAAGAGTGGAGGGAAAGCAGATCTTCTATCTAGCCCTTTGGTCAGCCTTTGTGCAAGCACAAGAATAGCATCATGTAAGAATAATCTAATAAGTGTTTCTTCTAGGAGAGGAAGCTGGAGGCAGTGATGCATCTGTGAAGAGTTGGGGCACAGAAGGTCTAAATGCCTCTGGCCAAAGAGCTCTTAGTGACACTTGGGTTACAAGCAGTAATGCTGTGTGGCAACAGTGCAGATTAAAAAAAAAAAAAAAAAAAAAACAAACACAAAACCTAGGTATAAACTGGGCCTAGGAGTACAAATCACTTGTAGAAAAGCTGCATAGAAATGCAGATTGTTGTTTTAGAAATAAACAGTGGGAACCAATAGATTCTCCTTGGCTTTAAAATCCATATTATGCACCCGGATTTTGTATCGCAGTCCATGCATGTGTGATTAACAAAATTTAATTATTTTTTTCTGTGTCAGTCCCTGGAGATAGCAATAACTTTAAGGCATTGTGCAGCAGTGGATGTGTATTTTTATAGTGAATCATCTTTTCACAAAGATTAGGACTTTTGAGACAAATATGCTCTCAGAGGATGATGTTCTTCCACCAAAAAAAAAAAAACAAACCAACATTTTTTTGTTTATTTTGAATGAATGGTCTTTTTGATACTTTTTTTTTTTTAAGATTTTCAGCATTTCTTTGAATTTTCTTCAATATTTTCAAAAGATTGTGTTGATTTTATCATTTTACCAAATTACTGTTATAAAGCCATCATTTAATTACTGCATTTTCTAGTAAACTAAGAGTTTTGGTAAACTAACTTTGTCAAAGCTCATTTGCATTGTAGTAAACAAAAAAAAAAATCAAGGTGATTGACACTATTTGAATCCTTGGTAACGGAATTAACTTTATAAGTGGTTTAAAACATTTGAAAATTATTTTCCAGGTTTGTGCCAAGTACAACTTTTGAGAGAGATGGGGCAAAGGAGTGGAATCTGTTTCATGCTTGTATTTTCCTACTATGTTGTGAGTTTCATTTGTGGACAAAGGACATTTTTCATTTGGCTTAGTGGCCAAGGTAGAAATGGTCAATTATATTGTCATAGACTCAGAATTTATGTTGGAAGGGAATTCCATAAGTCATCTAGTCTAAGCCCTCACTCAAAATGTGTCTAGGTAAAGGCATGATGCCTTAAAGTTTAAATGGTCAGGGCCATCTCTACTCGAGTCTTGACCAGTGTCAAGGATGGAGAGTCCCTAACCTCTCTGGGCTACCTGTTCCAATATTTCACCAGCTTCATGGTTTTAAAAAAAAGAAATCATAATAGCTAATAGAATTTCTCATATTCCCAGTTGTGTCTGTTGTTGCTTCTCTTATCACCATGCCTCCAAGAAGTGTCTGACTCCATCTTCTTTCTTTCCTCTAGTGAAGTAGTTGTGCAGTAAGGTCTCCTCTTTGTCTTTATTTCTTAAAGCTGAAAAGACCCAGTTCTTTCTATCTCCCCTCACACATAGTACCCTTAACTATTAGCATTTCCACAGGTGGCAAGAAACAAGCTAGGCATAAAATGTGGGCAAACCAGAGATTTAATCCTCCAAGTATAGCTTTAGTTGCTGTTAATTATGAAGTGTTTTATTGCCAATTCCAGTGTTGCTCAGCAGGAGACATGCTCCCATTTTATATTAGCTCTATTTTATTCCATATGTTAGCCTTCTTTCCTGTCTTCTTTCCTCTGTTTCAGCATTTTTTCTCCCCTGTCCCGTCTGCCAAAATGAAAGTAATGAAATAGTTAATATTGGTATGTAAAGCATCACTGATTTGCATGAGCCTAAGGTTTAAAGGAGATGAATAGAGCAGGATAAATGATATTTCTCTTCAAACAATTGTCTCAGCCTGACTGATTTACAGGCTCCAGAATACAGCAGGATAGTGATTCATATCCAGCATACCCTTGAAGACTATCCCCTAATCACAACAGATGACAACAAACTCAACAATCATATGAGGAGGTGAGAGCTCATTTTCAAAAGTGCTAAGCAGTAGTGGACCCACAGACATCACTCGCTGAGCTTGAGAAAAATACTGGCTCAATTTCTCTGGTCTTTGCAACATATTATTTGTAAAGGACATTGACAACTTCAAGAGAAAAGTGTGCTAGAACTATAAAGCATTAGTAACTAATAATCACAAAGGGCTGAAGAAATTTATATTTCAATCTTTGGACACAGACCATGCAGTTCAATACCATATCAGAATATCCTCATCACACTGCTCTCTGTATTAGCAAGTTGAGAGGGATTTTTATGATAAAGCCTGATCTTGCCTTCATCCTGTCTTTGCATGCAGGAATCATTATCATGGCTTATTCTACATGAAGAATACTGCATTCTACCAAGAAGCAAAATGGAAAAACCAAGCACAATGAAAGCAAAAGACAGCCCACCTTGAACCAAGGCAACTTATGTTGCAAGGCAGTCCTTAGCAACCTGAAGCCAAACAGAGCTCCTTTGTGTTAACAGAGTAAACTCAAGCAAAGATGATTATGGCTTGTTTACAGAGTCTGGTCAGGTGCTTCTAGCAAAAAAAAAGAGCTTTGAAGGTGGGTGGTAGACTTGCTGCTAAACAAGTGCAATGTAACATTTTCAATCAATATATTTCATAATGTGCCTATATCTTGAATTTTGTAACTACAACAAATTCCAGTACCATGCAGAAAGAGCTTAAGTATTTTGGTTTCTTTAAATCACCTGTCTTTTACAACACAAGCTGCAACTAGCCTTATAAGCCACACATTTTGGCACAGAAGTCCATCTGTGGCATACTGGAACGTTTATTAAGCTAAGAAGCAGAATTAAAGCGTTATCACTAGATGGCAGCATGGTTTATGACACACATGTGTCTACCTGATTTTCAGAGTCTGCTTTGAAAAGCCATGGCTACTCTGGAGAAACAGGCAGAAATTCAGACTGATTTTAGAACCACCTCAGCATGTTTACCAGGGGAGTCACAAGGATAATCCTGGACCTAAAATTCTGCATTAATGGTGGATGCAACTGGTTTTTAAACTTTGTGCAAATTTTGTCAGAGCATTTTCTGTCTGAGGAAACAGAATGTTGGGAAGTTGGCACTTATCCAGTCACTGAACTAAATATCCAAAGTTTTAAGCATCCTGAGAATGTTAAGTGATCTGATGTTACCAAACTGAGCCATTCAAAAATGCAAGTTAAGGTTAAAAATGAAGTTTTAAATAAAAAACCACGATTGTCACTGTTTAGGTTTTTTTGTTCCCTGCTGTTTTCCCCTCATTTAGGAGGGAAACAGCTGTTGTTTGGTACTAGGAAGTAAAGAAACTTCTAAGTGGAAGTTAGGATTTTGAAGTTTCCTTTTGATTCTGGAAGGAAGCCATGAGAGAAATATTGCTTATTCCAGGGTTTAAGACAAAATCACAGCTGTTAACAGCACAGTCTCATTTTCCCAGCTCTACATCAGTGTTATTTGATTAATAACAGCAAATTTATTGCTGACCAACTCAAGAATAAATAAAACCATTGAAGAGGGACATTACAGGCTAGTTATAATAAAAGCAGTTAATAAAAGAAGCAGGTGCAAATATCTACTTGTTTTGGAGATGGTAAAGAAATGGCATATAAGATTTATGAATTTTCTCTGCTGCAAAAGTGTATTTATTTCTCCTGTTAAATGTATCTAAGGAAATATAAACAATTTCAGATTGTTGTAAAATATGCAGTGAGATGCTACTGTGAATCATACACATCAAGGCATAGCTGAAACCCAGAAAAGTAATTATATGCAAAGAAAACTGGCTTTTCTCATATTTCAAGAAAAGAAATGCATCCTTCTCTGCTTTGTAGGTTTTCAAACTCTTTCTGTTCTTGCACAATTAACTCACATCAGTATTTTCCGTATGGCAGTAGCATAAGAAAAATTCACTCAAATACTGATTTCTCATGTCTGCCTTTGAGATTCTTTAAGACAAAATCCTTGTCGACTTGGATTACTGGGGTAGCAAATAGTTTATCACCATCACCAGACAGCTGTCTGTTCCTTCAAACTCTTTTCTTCAGGTGAAAGAATAGAGAAAAAGCTTGAGAGAGTAAAGGAGATGGGAGGGAACAAGTAACTATGACTTTAAAATATAAGAAAAACTCAACAGCAAAACAGATGTGCCTTCAAAAAAAAAAAAAAGTATCTAGATTTAATATTCCTTTTAACAGAGATTCAGCATCTGCAACTGAAGGAATCCTTTTGGAATAGCAGAATTAGAATTTAACTGTGCATGGGGTTTATGTGCACAAATAAAGCAGCAGGCTTTACAAGTGCAATAGAAGGAGGTTAATGCACTTCAGGAAAATCAGTGGAGGTATCGGGCAATGTGCTGAAGAAACCATTATATCTAAAAGATGTAGAGGTGTGTATTGTTTTAACAGACAGCAGTGAATCAGGATTTCTGGCTATTAATCCTATCTCATATGACCAGGGGGCAAATTACATAATCTGTATTTAAAATACAGTACTATTGCTTTAATGATGGAAGGCTGGGGAGCAGCAATCTGGGAAAGCAGGATGCATAATAAAGTATGCTGTGTTTATTCCATGCATACTGAACTCTGAGTAACCCTTGCAGTAGAAGGAGTTCCCCTGGCAGGCCAAGTGGGAAATTTGGCCTTTCTTTAGCTCTTCAGCTTTGTGTATTTGCTTCAGTAACCATTGATGATCCAGATACAGAGATGTTGACATTACAGAAGTAAAGATGCATGAAAATAAGCAAGTTGTGAAATTGCAGTATCTTAAAAAAAAAAAAATAATAATGTCTTCCATGTTGGAAATACAAAAATATTGTATTGGCGTTTTCAGTAGAAACAGTCTGTTTCAAAATCAAAATATGTGTTTCAATTTATTGGAATGACCTAGAAGGTTTTTTTCCAAAACATACAAAATACCTATCTGTATTTCTACATGGGGAATTTTCTTATTGAAGCTGAAAGTTAACCCTTTGCTCAGCACCCATTGCTAGCCTGAATATTTCATCATACGTATCATGGAGTAAACTGCAATATATTAAAGAAAATGTTCTGAGTATCCCAAACTAGAGGGAAAAGGTGAAGGGAGTAGGACTGCTATCAAAGTACTGTTATTAAAAGGCACTTATATATAATGCATTAATGGATTTGAAAACAAATGTTTCAGATGTTTTAAAAATGTGCTTGCTTTAAAGCAAAGAAAAAAAAAATATTTGTCTTTTTTCCAGTATCTATTGTGATTAGAAAGAAATCCAGAAGCAACATGGTATGTAAAAATATTATTCCACCAAAAAATACAAACTTTTTTATATGTAAACTGTGTATAAGCTTGCATGTTGAACAGAGATAATGTAATTCAGCATCTACACTGCAAGTTTGAAATATTTTCTAAGGAGGCAGCTTTAGTTATACATTTGATAAAACTAGATTGGCTGTGGATATGGGAACAATTTAGACTCGATGTAGTGCTGGGGTTATTTGAGACCCTTACATGTGTCTCTAAATTGCTGTCACTCTTTCAGCACACTGGTTCCTTAAAATAAAAGAAAAATAAGGAAATTACAAGATCCTAATGTGTTTGATCTTCCTTGAAACAATACTTAAAACAAATGAGTTTTCCTTTAAACAGTATAAGGCAGAAACAGAGACAAGTGGAAAAATCTCATGTCCCCATGCTTCAAAATGTGGTTATTTTATTAAACAGCTCCTTACTACATGAAGAAATCTTTTGTGTTAAATAAATATGACACCAAGTTGGGCAAAATCCTGAACACCTTCAATTCCTGTTAGATTCTCAATTAATACAACAAAATACATTGTCTCACAAGACTAAATAGTAATCTTCTATCAAGTAGATAATGATTGTTGTTAAAAATCCATAATTTCCTTCCTTATTGCCCATAGTCTACACACCAGTAGCCTATGCTTAATAAGCCAATAATGTGAGTAAAATAGAGAAAGGCAAAGAATTTGTTTATAATTTCCTTTTTTAAAGAACTTTACATTTTCAATGTTCCTTATATCTCTGTAGAGTTTTAAAACCTTTTCCATATAGCAGATAGCACTTAAAAATTTATTTATTGTTTTATAACATGATTTGTTTGGGAGGAAATGGAGCAAGTCTTAGCAGAATTCCTACAGAAAAATAAGTTAGAACATGGTGTTATGTATTGATCTTTGCTGACTTAAGCAAACTTTGTTGAAGGCAAGCTCTGTGCAGCATTTCTCTGAGAAAGCCCAAATCAACATCATGTACACTAAACTATCAGTTGCTTAGTTTCTTAGGTGGAATAAAGCATTCTGTGATTATTACATTGCAGTGAATGCTGCCTGCTAGAATGCAATCTTAGGGCACTGCGGAAGAGGTATGTGAGAAGTAGAAATAACTGTAAAACATGCAAGTTGGTTCAGTGCATATGAAAATGAAAGCTCTAGGACTGGTCTCAGCAGTCTATTGTGAGTCCAGCTATCACGAGAGGCCTGCTGCCACCAGAGCCCATGCAGAACTCCAGTTCATTCTGTAGAAGCAGAATAAGTTCCTGAAACAGAGTCCTACTTTCATCCCATGTTCATCCTGCTGCCTTCTAAGCCTAATTTGAATAAATGACTGTACAAATTTTCTAGGTAACTGTAGCTGTAGAGAGGAGTCTTCCATAGCATAATACCTTCCAAATAAATTGTGGCCAAGAAAGAATTTGATTTTTTTTTTTTCCTTGGTGGTAATGCTGGTGTATGGTGGTGACAGCCTATTTCATTCAGTTACCCTCCCTGCTATCAGTTCCCACTAATTTTAAATGCAGGTACAATGAACATTCATTTTTATATTGGTATGTAGCTTTTTTCCCCGCTTTTGGTGATGACTGAGGATTGCTTGGAAGACCACAACCATGTGACGAACGTCTCCAAATTAAACTAGATTACACTGAAGATAAGCTCCCATTTGGAGCTATGTTGTCCTGATGTGTCAGCAAGTACAGTCATATAGACACTATCAAGTAATAAAATCTTTACAACACATCACATGAACTGTGTAGATAAAGGGGAGATGACTATTGGGTTTTGGTCAGAAAAGTTGAAACAGGAATTGTAATGATTCCTGTCTTCAGGGTTATCAGTTACTAACTTTATTAGAACCATAGTTACTTTCTGTTAGGGACTTTTGGTATAAATGCATGGAACAAAGAAATATGTAAAGATAGTAGCTTTAACTCAGTTTACTTTTACCAGAAGACTGCAGATAAAGTTGAATTATATCTTTCATTTTAGCAACTTTTAAAAAATTGTCTGTACTAGACTGAAACCATTGAGGTTCAAAATGTTCCATAGTGGCTCTTAATTCAAATATCATATTTTAAAGAAATCTTAACAGTTTTCTGTGAGTCAAATTGATAGTAACCAAAATTAGTTTCACTGTGCATTTTCAGATTACATGAATCAAAACTGACGTAACAAAAAAATCTTCAAGTCTTCTGTTATAGTCATTACTAAAACTTAAAAATCAAGATTGATTCCTGTTTCTGCTATCAGTCCCCATTACCATTGAACTGGATGCAATTGATAACATTTAGTATAAGAGAACTAATTAAAGGGAAGAATGCTGAAGAAAGGTAGGAACAATTAGATTCACAAGAATTGCTGGTATCAATCTTACTGTAAAACCAAAACATTTTGGTATGTCTGTTAGTGATCTTAGTTTAAAAGGTGGAAAGTGTACCAATGAAACTTGTTTCTGAGCTGGAATATATTATAGGTCACAGTCACCTCTGTTACAAAAAGGTTACCTGAAAATGAAGTAAGTAAGGAGGAATATTTGGATAGTAAGAGGAAGAAAAAATCTGTCATTTCAGAAGTGTCTAACAGTTTGGCCTGGCTAGCAAAAAAGAAGATTTAACTGTTCTCTAAATGAGTTTGGGGTAAACTCAGAGAAGAGTTCTACTTAAGAGAAGGGGCAATGCTGGCACAAGTACAAACAGGCTTAGAATATATCCATGCATTAATTTAAACTAGAAATTGAAAGAAGATTTTACATACCAGGGAGTAAACTGCCTGCTACAGTAACAAAGACAAGAAATTGGATAGAGTGCTATCAGTTCTAAAAGAGACTGAAATGATAACAGAGATATCCCTCACAGTTCTTTGTTTTGGTGCTTCTGAATCCTGGAGTGCTGATTTGATTTACTTGTGTTGGACTCTGAAAAGACAATAGGAAATAATGAGTTCAGAGAATTTGTACTGAGCCATCAGCTTGCAGAAAATTTGTTTGGTGAACCTGAACTAGGCACACATCACTAGCTCAATTAGCATGAGCATATTCTGCTTTTCTTCTCCAGAGCCTTGATTACAGTTATCTGTTTGAACTTCTTTATTCCTTTAATATAGGTCATGAAGTATAACTCACATCATGTTTACAATGAGCATTTTTCAGTGGCATAGCCACCTTGTGCTTATATTCCACCAGCTGCTTGTTCCCTTTTCCATGCCAATACTTGCATTATGCCAGTACAGCTGTTTGTGTGATCATGCAAATAACTGGATCAGAACACTGGTCCAGCTGAAAAATACATTTTTATTTTATCTGTGGTATTTTTAATTCAAATCAGGCTCTCACTCTGTTTGTTACACTACTTCATGAACGGTTGTGCTAGCACAAAGCAGGAGGTGACTCAAGAACAACTAGCAATCACCTGAGCAATTTGAGCAGCACTGTCATATCCTCTGCCTGCTCTTGGCCGCTCTATGATTTGCAGTCACTACCAGGCCAATAAAAGGGCTACATGATGATGATGGTGGTGCCATTTGTCTTCCCTTCTTCTCTCTTGTCCCTCCTGTTGTACTGGCAGAGGGCCTGACATTGCAATTGAGATAGTTCAGAGAACCACAGCAGCTGAAAACTGATGAAACCACCTGACAACTAAGCGCTTCTTTTTTCTAATTTTTCTCCTTAGGTTTAGTTTTCTGTCTTCTTAGTTGACCAAGCCAGACCTCAGCAGCCCCATTGAGCTAGCACTCAGAAATCAGAAACACCAGTCAGGGGCAGCAAAATCAAACATTTCTCACAGAAACTAAGCCAGCTTGTACAGGTTGAATGAATCACTTGGTTATCTTGCTCTCTGGAAATTACCTTTCTGGAGATCCAAACAGACTAAAGGTTTTCCTGGTAGAATGTTTTGGCAGGAAATAATCTAATTTCCTTCAGGGAAGCCCAAAAATACTGGATTTTCAGAAGCTCTGTGCCTTCCTCCCCTGCAAATGTTTCTATCTCTGAGCTTCTGGTAGGATCTCTTTCCTGTTTTTGGTAGGCCAGTCCTACCCATCAGAATGTCACATCTAGGGTAATGGCAGAGTCTGTACTGTGTCACCTGTAGAAGTCCTGTAGAGCTGGCTGGCACATTTCTGTTAAATATTTGTAGTCCATACAAGCATTAGCTTTTCAATAATTCAGCCACATCTTGTCGGTAATTACTTTTCTACTGCTTATGGGTTTAGAATAGTAGCACCTAGTACTATACTAAATGGATACTTAATAAGACAACATTATAATAGGACTCCCATGGAATTACACATTACATTAACACCAAATGAGTTCATTCTGAATTCATTATGAATGATTTCTCTGAATACCAAAGGAATTAATAATCATTAGCCATTTACTATGGAGGGTTTCTGAATAATTGCCAGATACAGCTGTTTTAAGAATTTACAAGCTTTCCTGATCAAGTTTCATTCTGAAGGAATCATTAAGTGTAACTTTCTTTTCACTGGAGAGTTTCTCCTTTTATTGTGAATCTGTACTCCTCGTTCAATTGCATTCCAGTTCTAAAAGCACTTCAAAGGTAGTCACTCAGCCTAGTTCATTCACTAATGGAATTACTTTCCTTATCTCCATTTTGCCTTTGAGTGTATATCAGTTGGCTTTATACAACACATCTGAAAGGTTAATAAACTTTAAAGCATGCTGGGAGACATTCAAGGGCAGGGTGGCTCTGACATGACAAAAAGAATGCAAAAGCGTTATACTTATGACTTTGTGGCAAGTAAATTATGAAAGTAAAGATATCTGAGGCCTTTGATTTGGTTCCTGAGAGTTTCCTCTGTACCTACCAGCATTTGAAGACTCAGCTGCTTTGCATATCATAGGTAGCTGTCTTCGGAGACAGAGTGAATTAACTGCTTGCTTTAGATGATTTTTTCCTTTGGGTATAAGCTTCCACAAGAGTTTTACTTCTTTGACAACTTATTCATGCTGTCTACAACAGCCACATTGTTACAACTCACATCATCCTGATAAATTCAAATACAGTGTTGAGTTTTTCTGCATAACTTCTCATTGTTAACTAGTAGTTTGATTCCTGCCCATAGTCCTGACAATACACATTCAAATATGAGATTTACTATGTGTTGATATTAGATCAGTGAGTCAGGTTTCAACGTTAGGTAAGCACAGCTGTGAATGAATGTTTTGGGGTTGTTACGGGTTTTTTTCCCCACTCAGTGAGACAAATTCAGTGTAAAAAGCCTGGGCACCTTAGACCTTCCAGAATAAAGTTATGCCATTTCCTTGCATTCTCTCTGCAAACGGGGCTGCTCCATCTAAGCGTGCACACCCTTATTTCCGTTTCTCTGACAGCTGAATCCACTCAGTGGATTTCACAAATGCCAGCCTGCCACAAATAGCATCTGCATATAAAGTTAGATTCATTAAATTGTGTTGAAGTGTTAGTTCAACTGTAGATAATTCCCACTGAAAATTCAGTGGCCTCTGATCTATAATGTTTAATTAAATCTGTATGAAGCAGTCCTGTGTCTTGTTGATTGCCAAGATAGCAATACAAATGTATCTGTGTTTAAGCAAAGGCCAACACTGTATGATATGTCAGTGATGCCGTAAACCAATGCTTAGGAAATCATCTTCATTAAAAACTATGTCCCAAAATGAAACATATTAAGATTATTGGTTGTATAAATACTGACATTTTTTTATATTGTATAAATATAAATTTAACATGACTCTTATTGAGCTATTTATAACCTGCTCAGGTGGAAATTTTTTTTTTTTTTTTTATTACAGTTAGAGAATGAGGGGATCGGAGATTCATCTTGGAGACTCAGCTGTGGCACGGGGCTAGCTGCAAACCGCGGGAAGCTCTAACTGAAGCCAGGGGTTTGCACGGGTGAGGTGGGGCTCAGTGTAGGACATGCTGCCTGGCATACGGGCCCTGACAGTTGGCCACCAGATGGCAGACACAGTCTCCTAGAGAATAATATTTTCTTTGACCTACATAAAGAACAGCTGCATCTTTCTCCATTGAAAATGATAGATAATGCCAAGTACAGTGAAGATAATGGCCACTTTCTGAAAGCTGCTTTCAGCTTTTATACCTGAATCTTCTTATTCTTTTGCCTTTCTCTGTTACAATTCTTACCTTATGCTAGGGAAATAACATTTATTTTTCCACTGGTATCAGTTATAGCTGTTAATTCAGTTAGATTTGAACCGACTTCTGTTAAACAGAAGTATAACATAACCAAGGTTGTTTGCAGAAGTGTGCAGGTTCTACATTGTAGTAGTTGGAATGGATTAAATACACATCATGTATTTAAAATACATGTATACATAGACATAGATAATTTTGGTTTAAGTTTAACTTTTTTTTTTTTTTTTTTTTTTATTAGTGGGTAATTGTAGAGTTCTCTGCACCATTTAGTTCAATGACCAGCCCACCAAGGATGACACACTGCTGTAGAGGTATGCAAAAGCAACCAACATCACAGGCTCACAGTTCTGAAGAGGTAGGAAAATCACAAATATTATAAATGCAAAGTGTAAGGTCATTAAATAGATACTGGTTTTAGCTGAAGCTGAAGAGATCAGGACCTGGAGGACTAACCTTAGCAATTGTCCAAGTGACCATAACTTCAGTAAAGTCAGAAGACCTCTATTCTTTATTCTTGGAATAAAAATTGACCTAGCTCAGTATTTGGAAGACTACTTAATTAAATTATTCGTTCTCCAATATAATATCAAAATTCTTCACATTTTATAACAGAAAAGGCAGGAATGAAAATAAGGATTTATTTCAGAATAAGTAAGCAGAAGTATGGCTGCAAATTAACAATGCACATTAAAAACTCCTCTGCACAGTCAAGTACAGATGATGGCACATTTGTTCAAAACTTGTTCTAAACTGATTCTGATCCTGAGCAGCCAGGCAGAGCAAGCACATTTATTAAGGCTGTGTAGCCTTACCTTTATTGTTTGGATGGATGTTTGTAACCTGCTCTGGAACTCTCATGTACAGCATAACGTACAACTCCTTGGAGGTGAATAAACTCATATTTAGTGTGTGACAAGAGTGACCCACCCAGTCAAATAGTTATTCATTGGTAATTTACTGTACTACATGCTGGCTCTATGCCCACTACATTCCCACTGCAGGTAAGCTCTAAGTATTGTATAGTTGTGTAGATGTCAGCATTTTTATATCCCATCAGAGAAAGCTATCAATATAATTTGATCTTTAGAGAGAGAGAGAACATAAAAGCTCAAGATCATATAATCTGATTATCTTTTTTCCTGTTTCATGGAACTGTAGCATTTTTCTTATCCAGTTTGATCTATCATCCAAGGTCCGTGTGGAGTTACTATACCACTGTTATTGTCCCCCAATAAGTTTTATGTAAACAGAATAGTCACTGGCTTGAGTTCATTTACCTTCTCCACAGGGTTGTGCGTGTCTCTCTGGAACACTGAGAGCCTAGTGCAAGACAGAGGCCTGCAGTGCTCAGCTGGCCTGAGGACAGTCTTGCCGGTCACCCGCTCTCCAAAAGCACGGCTGGGTCGCTCACAGCTCTCATTGCTTGCTTCTGAGGGCTTGTTTCTTATAAGAATCTTTAAATTAATGTGCCATCCTCTGGACACTGGGTTGTGGCCTGGATTTAGGATTTCTTACTGGCTGCATCATCCATTCACTATATCATAAGCTCTGATAGGTAATTTTTACTCAGTGTTTCAGCTTTCTCATGTATAAAATAGGCTGGATGATACTTTCTTCTAAATGGTATTTTTGAATATGTGTATGAGATTACTAGAGTTTTGCTTTATTAATGGCATAGAATTTACACTGCTGTAGCTTAACTAGTATTTACCTAGCTTTATCATAGCAATAAGAACTGAGGCTTCTATGTATGTGCAACCACTTCATTGTTCTCCATGCTAATGCTGTTTTTCTTTATATAGATAGGGCCTAAGCATCTGGATCCATCTGATAAAGAAAGTTTCCTTTTCAGTTGTCTGCTCCTGCACAATTGGTCATTGAATTCAGCAATTTGGGGATTAGCTGAAAGAGTTTTAATTAAAAAACTAATTGTCAAATATGGTTGCAGGAGAGTCAGAATGATTTTACAGACACTTCTAAATCAGAAGTGCAAAGAAAACACTGACAGCAAAACAAGTTTCTCTGTTCCTTCCCTGAATCTTATATATTTGTAATTGATACAGAAACCTCCAGTTTTAGACTTATCTCCCACACTCCTGTGTTTTGAATGCTAATCACAGGACATGGAGAATGTTCACAGAGGGTAGGTATATGGATCTCTTCTATTTCAAGTATGGAGACATCCTTTTAATTGCGTGCAGACAGCAGATGGTATGGCTTTTGTGGCATCATGAACTCCAGCACAATATAGTCAGCCACTGCACAGCATGGTACAATTTAAAGCTGAGTAAATATGAGGAGAGTGAAGGGTTAGGGGTGGGAAAGCAGTAAGTCCTAGGACATTTGTTCCATTTTTATTTTACAAATTGACCATGATTTTGTTACACTTTGCTCTTGTTCGCTTTCTGCATCTGTCCTAGAAAACCGCCTTTCTGCCAGGAACATACAGCAGACAAACAATTTTAAAAGGATTGTTGTCAACTTCAAAAACCAAATCTCCATTTGAAAGTTTTATGTTTTCTTTCATAAGAAGATATTTGAAGTTACTTTCTCTCAGTCTTTAGAAGAGGAAGTAGGTAAAAAAAAACCCAACCCAAACCAGAAACAACAGAATTAATATGAATTCCCAACTAATAAACATGAGGTAAGATCTCTTCCACAGGTATAATCTCTCACAAAACTGACTTGGAATTTTCTGAAGCTTTTTCTGGTCAGAAAATTAATTTCCATTAGAAGTCCCCTTTTCGCATGATTCAGACTTTTCACCTATCAGCCAGTGTATTCTGGAATCCTTCTCATTTTTCCCCTGTAAGGAAAAGTTTTGAAACCGCAAAAATTTTCCTAAAATGGGAAATAATTTCCTATTCAAACCTCATATGCCCTGTGTATTCTGTAATTGGTTTAAAGACTGTAACTTACGGACAGCAGAGGCTTTACATAGAAGAAAGCAGCTCAGTAAGTAAAATAAAAAATTAATACAAATTCAAGAGGATTTTCTTTCATTGAGTTGCGACATACCCTGACAAGTAATATGCCATTAAATATATATGTATATATAGCAAATATATTCAAGTTTAATAAAAACTTAGAGCCCTCTGACAGATACTGATTTAAGGAGTTATTGCTTACACTGATACGCTGTGACAAAACAGTTGGGTACGGGCTGTCTTATTTCTAGATCCTCTTGAATTTAATAGTAGTATGACATAATCTACGTGCAGTCCCGAATCTGTGAGCTACAGCAAGACACAGGCAGTAGGTGACCATCCCAGAGAGGACCCGTAGGAGGCAGGAGTCACTCAGAGGCACAGCTCTGTCTCAGCTCGGTAGAACAGCTTGCAAACAACAGTCTCCTACATGAGGGGTTTAGAGCACAGGCTGAGGGAGTGTACAACTGACTGTGTGAATTCAAAGATGATGTTATTGGTAATAAAACTGTTAGATGTAGCAGTGCTTCTAATTTGTATCATTTTACAGTAATGCTATACCATGATTTATTATATTTATTATTTTACTGAGGTTTCATCCCATTACTGAAAGTTGTCTCATTCTCTGGTAAAATGGAGTATGGGTAAGCCTATTAATTAGAAATAAATAAATTATTACATAGAATACATTAATTTGAAAGTATATGAAGGAGAGCAGTGGTGAAGTTTAGTGGACCTTTGTTTTCCATGTTTTTAATCAACCCAGCCTATGTTCCTGTTTTCACCAGTTTCTTGACTCTAAATAGGCATGTTCTTTCATTAGCATGTGGGATTAAATTAATTGCATTTAAGAAATGGGACCCACTTTGCCTACAGCAAAACTTGTTGCACACTGTTATATATTTCTCCAGACTTTTCTAAAACTAGGGAAAAACAGATGTTCCTTCCCAAATTTACTACTTTAAATAAAATAAAATTTAAATCTGTGACACCATTTTCACATAAATCTTAGGAATGTTTCTGTTCAGATTAAAAATTGTTGGTCTCAGCCAGTGGAGCTATGCCAGTACACAGCAGCTGAGAATTTTCTACTCCACTATCTGTATGCACAATGGATTCATTAGGCATAGGACATCTCCTGTATGAGTTCTAAATTACCCAGCAGACTCCGTGACTTTTAACATACAGTTATCTTACACAAATCAGAGCTCTGCTTTTGGAAAGGAAGTATATTTTTTGTAGTTTGTGCAAACTCTTGCTAAGCAATACAAAGAACTATTTGTCTCTTGATATTAAATAGGCTGTGAGAATGTGGTGCTACAGACTAGTCTAATGTGCTTTAACACCTAAGTAATGTAAAATATTTTATAATTCTTTTTTCTGTGTGGAGATAAGGTAAGACATGCAGTAATTTACCCAGAATCTTGTCATTGCCCATATCCTACCAAAATTACTTAGGAATCCATGTGGCTTGTTTTTTATTCTCATATTTTAACTGATATAGGGTATGCTTCCAAATAGAGTAAGGCTGCAATCTCAAGACACTGCTTTGAAGCTGTTTTTTCCCTGTTTCATTCTAAGATATTTTAACATTATTCCATCCTGAATGCAAAATCAGTGGAATTTTAAAAGTAAAAATATATTACTTTACTTAAATACGCACTAAAATGAAAACTGAGTTCTTGTCCTTGATTTCTGCTGCTCTCCAGATTATTATCAAGTATGTATAACTGAATTATAACCTTGATTTTCATACAGGTCAATGGCCTCCATGCAAGTGACTCACATGGATCATAAAAGTATATTTCCAAGGGGTGTGGGAATAGGTGGGCTGAACAGCTTGGGCTGGTTTATAAAAACGAGGGCCTCAAGCCATCTGCACTTATCCATTCTTCTTTGTTCCAGCTGCTATTCTGCTCTACCAGCCACATCACCAGGGCAACATGGCATTCGCAGGCAAATACGAATTCGAAGGCGATGAGAACTATGATGACTTTGTGAAAAAGATTGGTAAGTATGTCTTGGGGTGTAAGTCTTAAAGGTTATAAAGTAGTTTGAATTGCTTAAAAAAAAAAAATAAATTTTTTTACTGAAATGTGGTGAGATCAACAGGGTCTAAGACTGGTAGGAGTGCTCTGCACTTCAGCAAGGAGATTCAGTTTTTATTCTTGTAAGAAGCAGTCAGCTGCAGGAAATAGTCCTGTTCTACAGAACTAGTATTCCTTTTCAGTGGCAGCAGAATTACGTTTGCAGCATGGTCAAGATATTTGCAGTAGGGTGATTGTGAAAGGCACTTTTTCTGTCCTTAGTATTCATTGGTGAGAGTATAAATTTAGTATGAAAATGCTTGTCAAAATCTTACACAGGAACATGTTTCTGTGAATGCTTTCAGAAGTTTGTGCAAACCTCCTTCAGAGGTTACCCTGTAAAAGGTCTTAAGGACCCTACAATCTGTGCACATAAATTCAGTTGTGTTCATTTATTTAAAAAGCAGTAACAAATAGTAAGTAGGTATGTACAGCTATATAGCAAGGGCACGAGTTCGTACACATTAGATTCCATGCATCTGCATGTGTAGATTAAGTACAAGCGAATATTTATATGTATCTGTACATTTATTCTGTGTATTGTTTCACAGAGAAAAGAATGCAAGCCCAAAACTTACTATTTTAGCAAATGCACTGATGTACCTGTATCTTCCTTATGCCAGTAATTTAAACTCAGGGTGTTGATATTGATAAAAAAAGCAAACAAGCAAACAAACAAACAAACAAACTTGTCCAAAATCAGATGCTCCGACATCAATGTCTGAGAACAAATATATCATTAGTATGGTTCAATTCAAATACAGCTGGTAGGCTATTAGATTTGATAAACTGTATGTTTCTATCGATGAAGGTCTCCCCAGTGACAAGGTTGAAATGGGAAGGAATTGCAAAATTGTCACTGAGGTGGTGCAAAATGGAAATGACTTCACCTGGACGCAGCATTTCCCAGGAGGCCACACCACAACCAATGCATTCACAATTGGCAAGGAAGCAGACATGGAGACAATGGGTGGTAAAAAGTTCAAGGTAAATTAATTTAGCTCTTAAGTTCTATGCTGTCTCAGCTATTTTTTAATTTAGGGTGAAAATCAAATCTGTCTCAGGGATGTCTTCCTTAAATTGATTTTTTCATCTGCCATAGCTTATAAACATAGCAAAATATCTACATCTGATTTTAAAGAGAGCTAAAGCTTCAGAACTGTACATACTAATACAGAATGAGTGCCAAGCATCTTCTGGTGCTGCAGCTCAAGCAAATGTAATGCCAATTAAAACTCTAAAGAGCTGGTTGACAGCTGTGTCATCATCCAGCTCCCTGCAGCAACTGTAGCACACTGAGGGGAGGGCTATGGTCCCTAGCTCTTCCTGTCAGCAGTGCTCACCTTCTGAAGTCACCTGTGTCTGAGCCTTTAAACAAAAGACTGTAGAATGAAGGGGGGGGGGGGGGGGAAGGGGGGGGGTTGGGGGTGAGTGAATAATCTCTGTATTCTCCTTCCTCTTGGAAGTACAGAACAACTTGCAACTTAAGCAGCGTCTAGCAAGATGGAAGATTACACAATATTGATCTGCTTCTGTCATGGACAAAATCTGGATACAAAACCTGCTATAAAATGGTTGCTTTACTTATTAATTTCTCATCCATTTAAAAGGATAAAACAGTTTGGGACAGCTAAACTCTGCGCTTGTGAGGTGTCCTGAACCCTGCAATAGATTACTGGCTAAATGCTTTATACATTGAAGAGAGGAAAACCAGCAATTGCATCAGGGAGCTGTGACAAACTAAGAATAGCAGTAGCATTGCATGATTTCCAGAATGCTTTTTTAGTCATACCTTTCTGAGAGGGAAAACAACATGTCTTTGGCTTTGAGAAATCTTTGTGAAACCTAACAGAATAAGACACAATTCTATTTAGTCAATTTATTGCAAGCTTAACAGTTTTGAAATTCCATTCTCTTCTTTTTGTCCCTGGGCACTTCAGCAGTCCAAAGCCTATTAAGTAGCCAAAGATGGAGGCAGAGTAAATGGCTCTCAGTATAGTGTCACTAAACAATACATAAACTAGTAAGATGGTTTCCTTGTATCTGGTAAAAAAGGTCCACTCATCTCTTTGTTTTGCAAATTACTTTTTTCTTCCACTAAATATGTCTGTATTGCTAAAAGCATGGCAAGACTGACTAGTAACACAGACAAAACTGATTTTGTGGTGGAACTACGTATCTAGTTTTGGTGCTCAGCTGAGCTGCTGTAATATTTCCAATCTTTACAGCAGCATCCTGGCATACTACTTCCATACAGAAGCAGCTCTTACAGCAGGTAGCACGTATTACAGTATAAAGGTGTGACTGCAGACTGAGCAGTCATGTTCACCTATACTTAAATGAGATGAATTCTAGGGTAGTTAGAGGTATGAAACTCTGGATCCAGGGTAAAGATTCACATCGCTTGTTCACAGAGACACTTGTGCTGCTTGCAGGCAGGTTATTGGTATCTGAGAATGCTACTTCAAAATTAACTCATACAATCATGCCTTTTACTTCACTGTCAAAACAAAAAAAAACACATAAAATGCTGAGGACTGAATGAGAAGCATGATCTGTTGTCAGATCATTTTTAGAGCTATGAATGAATATTCTGTAGATATGGAACTTGAATATATTGTTAATTAACAGTTTTCTACTTAAATTGTGAACATTTACAAACTAAAGCTCAAGGATTTTAGTCTTGTTCATAGAGCTGCATGTGTAATGCACTACTTTTTAAAAGTAGAAACTTTAAGCATCAGTTGTACAGATGTTTACAATGTATCTGATAATATAAATGCCAGTAACCCCAGGGAACATTAAATCTTTCTCTATTACAGGCAACTGTTAAAATGGAAGAAGGGAAAATAGTAGCTGATTTTCCCAACTATCATCATACTGCAGAGATTTGTGGAGGAAAGCTAGTAGAGGTGAGTTCTCAAATATCCAGGTTAGTTTATAAAAAACAAATAAACAAAAGCTCAGGATTAGCAGGCTTAAAATTTTGGGTTTAGAAAAAATCTTTAGATAAGCAAAACTATTAAATAATTTTCTCATTCACTCTAGATAATTTTCTATAATTTTGTGCAGGCTTAATAAAAAAATTAAACTTTTCATCATGTAACTTGATAAACTTGAAATATAGATCTTGCCTCTTAGGCACAGACACACAGTTTTATAGCTATAAAACTGGAATGTTCAGACTGAAATATTCCCAAGCTGCCATTTCTTTGACTCTATTCACTGTGCCTATGCCTCAAGAATAGAAAATAATACATATATAGAACTTTTCACCTACTACTTGTTTCTATAAAGTTACTGATTTTGTTTCAGTCTTAGAAAACTATCTAGCTACAACTTCTCACAGAATTTCTGTAGAACACTATTTCCTCAGTTTTACCAAAGAAAAAAAAAAAAACAAAACAAACAAAACACACCAACAAACCAAAACCAAGCACATATAGGGTTAGATTTCAAGTAGCATCCTGTTTTACCAACAAAAGGGCAACATAGCTTTGGAAGATTACTGAAACTACAATACTTACAGTAAAACTTGTGAAACATCATTATTCATGATTCTCAAAAAATTTCCAGAATTATGTCTGTGCCAGTTACATGTGTCTGAGTGAGTCTTCAGCAGAGACTAACCATGAGGAAGTTACTCTGTGAATCAAGAAAGGACACTTACCCTCTCTGAAAGTAATGGTGTCAATCATTTTTTTTGGAGAACAATTATCTCACTTGTCTAAAACCCTGATAACTTGGAGTTAGTGAAGCCACATCTAACACAGGATACATTTAAGTGATCCCTAAACCGCTGTTTAGAAGTTGTGGTTTTTGTGTAAAAATGCTTTTGCACTGTGTATTTCAGACTTGACAAGTACATTCATCTTATTTTCTAGATATGTCTTGTACCAAAGGGTAAATGTTGCTTCAGTAAAGGACAGGTTCTGTGAGCCAGCCAGCAGGTCTTTTAATTAGTGACACTGAATCTCTAATTACACTGTTCAAACAAATTTTTGGCTTGTTCTTTATTCCAGATTTCTACTGCTTCTGGTGTAGTCTACAAAAGAACCAGCAAAAGGATTGCTTAAGGCACTAAAGCCAGTCTTTGCAGTAAACTGGGAAGCAAACAACAATACAAATAATTAAAAGAGTGCCGATTGTCTTTCCCTCTTTCTTTGTGTTACAAACAAAGAATTGGTTTTGAGTAATGTTATCCTCAACATTAATAATTACCCCATTCCTAAATATCTGACAAATACTCAAAAATCAGAAGATGCAACAAAGAATTTAATAATGCTGTCCAGTTTTTCAGGATGTGATAAATACTAGGCATATTCAAATGTTGTCTACCACCTACTTAAGAGCAACTCTATTCAGCTTCTGTCTAAAGAATAGGACAGTACTCTGCCCCAAGCTTTCATCAAAATGCAAGATGAAAGTCTTTTGCCCTGTTGCTGGTTGGAAGGCAGAAATTTAGGAGCTTGAAAACAGGAGAAAGTCAGTTTATCACACATTAAAAGATATGCTTTCTTACTGCAATGATGATTTTCTCATTCTCATCAGTATTTCAGCTCATTTCAGCTATCTTTCATTAAAAAAGAGTTTCTAATTCCTTTCTATATCTTTCCTCAATAGAGATTACTAAAGTTTCCAGCTGCAACAGGACTTCACCCAGACTTCATCAGTTTACCCAAAATAGGCTGTACATATCTTAGGACCCGGTGTTGCTCAATATATTAATTATTCTGTTTTCAAGGCAAAGCATAATGCTGAGCGCTAATTAAACACAAGTCAAATCTGTAACCTGTTCAATCTTGAGATTTTTTTTGGTGCTTACAAAAGAGCTACTGCTTTAATAGAATTTTGTTGAAATTCATCTTCTTTAGTTATAGGAAGTCATACTGAGAAGTAATAAGGGATTTCTTCTGACTTCAAATTAGCTAGAACATTCCTCTGCAAATAATAATGTGACATCTTAGAAAATTTGGATTTAGAATCTGCCCATCGTATTCAACACGACCAACTACACGGAATGACCTACAGAGTTAGGTACAGGTAGACAGTGGGCATGTGTTCTATGAAACTAAAACTCATACTAAGAATTAAGGGATGGTAACATTTTGTCTGAATCATTTACGCCCACAAGAACCTGCTTTAGAAGATGATGCGGATACCTCATAGTTGCCTGCTTTGAAAACAAAATGGACCCAGCCACCGCTAATTCCAGTTCTAGAAGCAACTACATTTAATGTTGCGCAACTGGCACATTTTCACATTCTGCATGTGATAAGTAACTCCCCATTATACAGACAACAGTGCTTTGCAAGGAAGGGTGGGATTTTTATTTAGGCTCTCTAGAAAGCATGCAAGGAGTGATTTCACAGGGGAAAAAAAGCATTGCTGCCTTTTCAACCGGAGGACATTCTTTAGGCTTGTCTCAAAATGACAGTATAGAGAACAAACAGTCCTTAAAAAAAAACCCAACCAACCACAAACTCATGCAAAATTATCACCGAGAATCCTTCAGTGGCCCACATTTGCTAGTATCTAGACTTCTCAGTAAAAATTAGCACTAAGCTAAATTTTATTAAGCAACACCTGTACACTTTACTGATGAGATGATTATACTGATCAAAGAGCATTATATCAACTTTAAGTTGTTCACTACAGTGTGTAAAACTTGCTAAAACAAAAGGATCAAACAGTGGCTTTGACAACTTTACAAACACCACATTGTGGCTTTCTCACAAATAGGGAGATGGTAGTAGTTTCCCTTTCCTGTTTAAAAAAGCAACAAACTGCAGCTGTAAATTTTTTTTTTTAAAATAAGTTAATTTTAACCTTTGATGCCTGTTCAACATAAGCACTTTTTTCCACCTCTATCCCTGCTGCAGCTCCTGTCAGGACTCACTAATACAGTTTTAATTTTAATGTTGGCTTTCTCCTTTGATTACATCTGCAACGTCTTCCCATGTAAGGAGGTAACTAGTGCCATAGCCCATTTTGTACCCTAGCCATGTTTTGCTGCATTATCTTTTGCAGCAGCCTTTCTTATTTCAAAGTCTACCAGGGAAGTACGAGCTAAGCAGCATGTAAAAATTCTGATCTATGACTATGCTGCAGCTGACAGCAACAAACAGCACAAGCACAGTGAGAAGTTTTACATCCTTTTGTTTAAAAATTAACTCAGCTTTGCAAGCACCTCTGCAGCTCCCTCCAAAAGTAATTGTGGCAAAAAGTCTTCAGAAAAACATTTGCTTTTCCTGCGGAAGTATGTTTTCATAAAAGAAAGAAAAAAGTCACATGAAAGTATTTACCATTAAATTTAATGCGTGGAATTGCCACCAATATTTAAAGCATTCTGGAGAGAACTGTTAATCAAAGCAGCATTAGGCCAAGTCAAATGCCTGTAAGTATTTTCTCTTTCAAAGTCTGCTGTTGGATTTAATCTGCCCTAACTCCACCCATGATACAACAGCACAAACAGAACCTGGAAGTCAGTGGACAATTCCAGCTTAGAAGATACAGTCATCAGAAGAAAAACTGAATGTACAACTGCATTCTCCTATTCAGCCTTTCAGCCTCCTTAGGTAAGACAGCACCACTAAGACACACTGGCCCTCTGAGCTGGAATGATCTGTTCTTCTATTATTTTATGTCCCTACCTTGTCTCTGCACATTCTCTGCCTGCCTTGTGCAGTGATAAAATTCCTCATATGCCTAATGCTTGACAATTTATTATTTGGCAAGGCCTTCCCATCACATTTGTCCTACCACTCTTCTGTTCTTTAAAACATTATGAGTGCTCAGATCAGTTATTTTTAAGGTATAGACACATCTTCATTGTTAAAAGCTATGGAGAAACCACTTTAAAAATAGAGGGTATTTCAGCTGTGTGCTTGTTTATTGAAAACTTTCACTGGGAACTTGACAAGTATTTTCACAATTAAGGACTATGGCAATCCAAAGTATAACACTGCACATGATGCAAATTATAAAGATGATAAAGAAAAACCACGCAACAGTACTGGCACATATATTGTTCCTTACATCTGTCAAATGGCATAAAGAATACACTAAAGTCTTCTGAAAATAAAGTTTAATATAAATACAGAACCAACAGAATAAGAGGTGAACTAAGTTCTCTAAAACAGGCTAATTTCTGAAGAGTACTGTCTCTTTATTTACAGTTTGCCTTTTTTTTAGAAAGAACATGAAGATTCCTCTAGCCTGCTGAATGAAAAAAATTAACTTGATACCAAATGTTGCATTCTCAGAAGATGTTATACCGACATGCATTAGCATGCAGGCTAGTTTTTCCCCTCCACTTAAAACACCCTTAAAAACAATTCTTTAAAAATATAATTTAAAATAGCACTGTGACATATGACTTGAAGAAATTACCCCAAGTCAGTCAAAGCATATTGCACATCACTTGTATTGCTGTCCTGAGGACCTTCAGAGCAAAGACAAACCAAGAGTACTGCCTTCAAACAAATTTACAATAGTGGTTGCATATATCAAAACTAAAGTTTTGCATTTGCAGCAGTCCATTTCTTGTAAATATCTGCATTAACATTAAAAAAAACCTACACAGTTTTTTGAACAATCATCCCTGGTTTCAGCTGAGAAAGAAACCTTTGGATATGTGACAGTAGGTGCGCGTCTCATTGCAAAGAAGCAACAGGATCTTCAATTTACCAACTACATATTTCAAGAGAACGCTAAGACTAAGATGGTATTTAAATAAACAAGTCAACATTGTCTAGCACTGCAATCATACTCTTAATTTCACAGCAAAGTTAACCAGTTCCCTATCTTTGCCCCCATTAACACCAGTTCCTCTGTCCTGAGTCTCAACTACTGCCACAAGTCACTGAGCCAAGGAAATTAAATAGCTGAAGGCAGAAAGCTTTAAGTTTTTCCAAGATGATTTCTTCAAGTAACATTAAATCCCTGATAAACCTCATGAACAGTTTACTAACTATAATCTCCAGTCTCAAAAGCAGCAGCACATTAAAGATCTAAGAGATGATTTAAGGTTTTGGTTTTGTTTCTAAAATACTTGAAGGCAGGGTGATGTTCCCTTCAGCAGCACCACATTTAGATTCCAAGAGAATATTAACTCAAAAATTATTTGATAGTCTTCTGGGTTTTTTTTTGTCTTTGCCTTTTATTCTAAAGTCTTACTCCTGAACTATCACTTCTGCTCAAAGAACATGGAAAGTGTTCTACACAGATTTCCGCATAAAAGAAGTTCACATTTAACTGATACCGATTTCGGTATATTTTAGTAGAAGCTTCCAGTAGTATAAACTGACACTGTTCAAGCAACATGTCACTGCTAGAGGAGAGCACTCAATGTTTTCCAACATCCTCCTCTAGGTACATTGCTACTTGACCAGAGATTCAACAAACCCTCCAGCCTTAAATAACTCTTCAACACAAGCTTTCAGCCAACTCTGATGAGTCACTGACTGGAGTGGAAGGAAGTAATCTCCACAGGGTTTCTACACAGATGCCTCCAAGTGACACAGAGCGAGGTATATTGATTAACTTCTATTTCTCCCTCTCATTAAGAGCCAAAGGTACAACCCTTGGCAGAAAGGCACCCAGGTTCCAGTGATCAGTGGATCCAGAACATCCTCCTCTGAACGAACAAGTCATAAGAATTCTTTTCCTTCACAGTTTTCATTCAGATGCACATCTTGTATCACACACACAGGGTCTCCTCTTTAGCTTCGATTCATATCACCTTTCTCTCCTTTCAATATTTATCCATCAAAACACCCAGCTGCATACGAGTGATGACCACTGAAGTAACTACAGCCATAAGCCGTGGAGATGAAGTGTCTGGTCTCTGTTCCCAATGCCACCTGCACAGCGGCGGGCGTTTGGAAGGGCAGAGCCTGGGCAGACGGCCGAAGGCTGGCCTGAAGGGCCGCGTAGGAGTGCGGCGGGCTGTCAGCACTGCCGGCCAGGAGACCGCGGGGCCTCTGGGCCTGTAAGGAGTCACGGTAAGCAGAGCACAGATCTTGCACCGGACACTGGAACTGGGAAAGCATAGCTGAATGCTGGGCTAACGGGTGGTAACTTGATTGTTGGAAGAGAACTTGAGTAGTGGCTTGATGGCTCAGGTTTCCCACTGCTTCCTGTTCTTGATGTTGAACTGTTACTTGCTTTTTTATGTTACTGGCTTCTTTGAGGTCATTCTCATAATATCTGAAACAAAGTTTAAGTAAGATTTATCAAAAGGAGAATTTCACAGAGCTTGTATATATCCCAAAGTTTTCAGTCATGCTACGTCATCAGCTTTTTGGCCCTAGCTGTATACAGTAATCCTCAGTTTCTTTCACAATTAATTTCTAATTATCCTCCTGCGATCTTCACACACTAACAACAGCTTTATGGATCATTTTTATCACAAGTATGTTTTTATTGATGGAGTGGTTATCTTGGAACCTTAAGTCCACAACACAAGGATATTTTGAAATGTTCTGTATAAGTATTTGCAGAGTATTAAAGTGCATAGCTGTAAGGGAACAGTAGGAAGAAATATTTTCACACTTTTGATTATCATGAGAATGATGACACACTGGAACAAGTTTCCCAGAGAGATTAGGAATTCTCTGTCCTTGGAGATAGTAAAAACTTGACTAGACAACACCTCAAGCAGTCTGATTTAATTTCAGTTGGTCCTGCTTTAAGTAGGAATTCAGAAGGTCCACCATCACTCCCAACCTAAATTATTCTATTAATATATTTTTTATTATTTTCTGTCAAGATTGTATGTGCTCACATACCAGACCAGTATTGACGCATCACAGCCACGTCCTTTACCAGAGGAAAACCAAATAATAGTTCTGAAATGTCCCTCTATTGTATTCTCAATGTTAGAGATACACTGGTGTGTCTCTGCAGCAAGTATATGCCAGGTACAACGAGAAAACAGGAAAAAAGATTTCATCAACCATCTGTAAAAGCTTCAATCCAATCAGATTACACTTAAAGTGACCTGATTTTTTCCCTTTTATTCCTCTCCCCAAACTGAAGATGGAGATTGCCAATGTAATATTGTACTATTTTAATTTTAGCTAAACAATAAAAACCAACAACAACAACAACAACAGAGTATTAACATCTTCCTAAGAGCACAAACAGGTTACTTTCTGATCTTACGTGAGCATCATTTCAATGCATTGGGCAAGATGTTCCCAGGAATAACACGTTAGCAATTCAAGCTGTGTTGTCCAGGCAGGAGAAATCTGCATACAGATACGTGAGGCACATACACAAGCTGCAGCAATCAGAGATGGACGAAAATGGAGGAAAGTGTGATCTACAAAAGAAAAAAAACAGAACAAGAATTATACTCATTAATCACTGCAGTGAGCCTATTACATGTATACATGGCAAAATGGGACAAAGTTAAATCCACAGATTTGTTCCACACATCTCAGAGTATTAACTCATGACCAGAAAAAGTCTCTCAAAACTGGATGAAGCTTTCCTGAAGATATTGGTACTACTTGTTCATAGCTACTATCAAGGCTTCACTGCAGTTTCTTTAATTTCAGAAGCCATGAAATAGGGTATGATGAAATCTGTAGACTGGTCACAACTGAAACAAATTTAGGTATTGATAATTATACACCTATTTATATGAATGTTGAACCCAGCTTATGAGGATGCTGCAGTTCACTGCCTCTCACACAGGCAGATATTGGAATCAGTGCTGCAAACCAAATCATAAAAGCCCCTTCATTCTAAGTATGTCATGCCTTGCAGCACAGGACCCTCTAACAAAAATCATTAAAAAAAAGATTTGTACATTGAACTGCATGATACCATGTCTGCAACTGACAGTAGTTCATACTCTATGGCAGATCAAAAATTAGACCCCATTTCTGACAGTCTTACCAATTAGCGTTCTTTGCTGAAGAAAAAAAAATGATCTCATCTGGAGATTTCTGAAAAGAGACGAGGCTTATGCGCAAGGAAGGGACGCCGTACCATCCGACATCCAAAATAGCTGCAGAAAGAAACCATTCTTCCCAGATAATTTTGTGCAATCCATATTATTACAAGTTTTAAAGCTCTTATCTCTCTCAGATTTTTGCCTTTTGCCAAATGGAAGATCATTCTAGCATAAAACTAAGCCTCTTACCTTGCACTGAGAAATCAAGGAAATAATACACGTATTTCTCCAGAAAATCTTTGATTTTGGTCAGTGAGGTGATCGGCCAGCCATTGTGAAGGTCATTCTCACCAATGGACACACAGAGGTAGTAGTCAATGTAGTGTGCTGGTGTTGGTAGGTAGAGGTTCCAGTTGAAGTTTTCCAAAAGCAGCATTTCCATTCTAAGCAAATCCTTCTTGTTCAAGACCACATTCACATTGCACATGTATGCCAGGTTATTTAAGTGCTCCAACTTTGGAACTTTATCTTCTTTTTCTTCGAATTTACCTGCCAGAAGAGATGATGTTCAGATAAGATTTATTGTTATGACTAAGTGTCCAAAAGCTAAACAACTATCCCCAAACCAGAGAGTTAATGATAGAAGGTGCTTTTTAAAGGACAGAAAAGTACAGTGACATGAATAGGAAAGATGATAACAGGCTGGTCAGATTCCTATATCTTTTTCATGGATTTGTTTATTTGGTTTTAATTGTTTGTATAGTACTGATGCCAAAAGCCAGGATTATAAACTCATTAGGATTACAGATAGTTTTTCTGACAATTACTGGAAGCAGTTTGCTGAAGGGCATTCAGTCAAGTGTGAAGAAAGCAAGCAGTATGGGGAAAATATAGCAAAGGAAGATCTGGGGGAAAAAAGCTCCTTTGGGTATGGAAACTAAATGCACATGCTACAAAAAGGAAGACATTAAAAACCCTTGGGCAACACCACCTTTGCCCTTGATGCTTCAGAATTTCTTTTTGTTCCTTCCTGTCTTGGAGGGCCTTATTAGCTAAGGCCACTGAAAGGCTAGAAGTACACTGTAACCAAAGTGATTAACATAAATAGTTCCTATGAGGCTAGGAGAGAGCATACCTTTTCAGTCCAGCTAGATGAGCAAAGATGCTCCTTTTTCTAAATTGTATTTACCTACTGAAACAGCAGTAGTCTCTAGAATGACTCAGTCTTCACTAGTAGCTACAAGGTGCTGACATTTTGTACAGAAAAACAGGATCTCACTCTATTCACCCTTCTTTCATAAAAAGCATCCACTATCAGATCTGATTCCCAGGATCAGTAATAAAGCAGTGTTACTTTGCTGCAAACTTAAAGCAGTTAAATCTTCTTAAATTCACACTGTTGGTTTATCAAACCAAAAACGACCCATCTTCCAGCCACTCCTTATTCAAGAGCTAGCAACAAGCAACTACCAGTAATAAGTTTCCAGTATAGCTTAAAGACCATCCCTGCTGCGAAATCCAAACCTGTAGGTACTTAAAAGTACTGTAGTTATTTTTCCTCTTTGTTCTTGAGGTCATATATTCCACAACTGATTCTTGCTTCAGTTGTCCTTCCATTGCCTCTGTCAGAGTTCTCCTTTACCAACACAGACCAATTGACAAGATATTAGCATGTCATATGGCTTCAGAGTATTCTCATCAAATCTAAAAACAATTAAACCAGATATTGCACTAGAATATTATTTTAAAAGGAAGATCTTGCTATCCATTTAGGATAGCAATTCCATCCAAAGTGTCTCCAGTGTATTAAAAGCCTGACAATTTTCTGTACTATTAGCAGTTTAAGTGTCTTTTTAACACATTTAAAAATGTATTTTCTATCTTTGAGTCTGTTCAGGTATCATGGATATGACATGCATTAAAAGTGTAATATAGCAGCCACCCTACCATAAAAAAAGCATAACAGTAACCATGAAAAAATTCATCTATCATTTGTAGCAAAACAGGAAAGGACTGTGGGCACATTGTTAGTGAAAGAGCCCTCAAAATTCAGGAGTCTGTATACACATTCATGAATCTCCATACCACCTGAATTTAGAACTGTTCAAGAAAAATTAAATTTTAGATAAAAGTTAACTCTTTGTTTCTTCCCCACAAGTTGATGTCACAGCCTGATAAGAAATTTAAGGAGTATACTGGCAGCAGTAGCAGAAACCACTTCATGCCCAGGAAACTAAGGATGAGATCTGTGATTCTGGCTTCCCTAAATTCTAGTCCCTTCTTTCTTCCACTCAACCTTGGAAATTTCAAAAGGTCAGGCCAACCTTGGAAATTTCAAAAGGTCAGGCTATAGTCTGGAGAGCAGACTACCAGCACAGTAGTTTTGGGAAGGTATCATACCAACATAGGGCAAAGCTGTTTGACTTGATCAAGATAATTTTTCTTTTAACACTAAAAATAATAAACAGCTATATGTAGTGATTTAGATTACTAGTTATTTATTATTTTTCCCCTTCTGCTTTTAAAGCTAGGAAATAGTGTGTTGAATGTTAGATTAACGGCAGCCATTGCAGCAGATTGGAGACACTGAGTATAAACATAGCTTGATAAATTGAAGAAAGGCTCCAAAATTGAGTTGGGAATTGAGGGAGATAAATCAACTCAGAAACTTTGCTTTGAATAAACTGTAAAATTTTAATACGAGCTACTTTCCAAAGCAACATATAAGCACCTTGATAACATTTTCTTTCCCAATTCCACCTTGACCTAAACACTTTGCGTCCAAATTTATCAAGCATTTCCCACCTATTTTTGAATTGAAATATGGAGAAGACAGCAAATGTTAGTTCACTCCATCAGACCAAAGAGATAAGAGGCAAGCTGGGAAATAACAAGTTTAAGATGTTTTTAAAATGCAGTGTCTCCTTTTCCAGTTCCCTAAATTAAAGTTATTAGAATATACTATTCCTATTTGTGTTCCTTTGGTTACACCAGAAACTGAGATTCTATGCACAGTATGTTTATGCTGAGAGAACCTGGACTTCCAACACAATTGCTGCAAGAATATTAAAGGATCAGACAAAACAGTTCCAAGTCTAGTACTGGCCAAACAAATAACTCTGACTAGTTTAACCAACATTACTCTTTGAGAAGAAAACCAAAGCTGTTTCAGCTACATTATCACCTGGAGTCTGTAGTTTGAAGTTCATGAGAACCGTGTATGAGTCATTTGTATGCTTGTGAAGTGCCACTGTAGACACTTCAAATTAAAAGTTTGCTGAGCTCCAGTTACCAATAAAACCATTTAGCTGTCACTACTACCCTCAAAAATAGTTTTGAGGTAACAGAATCATAAGCCTTTAAAGCAATGCTTAATTTAAGAAGAATACAGATGCTGCAAATTTTTATACAAGGAAGTCTACTGAGGTCAACAGGATGAATAAAACAGGATGAACTTGCAATGTAGGTTTACACTTATGACCAACTTTTTTGTAAAATCTAAATAGATGAGGGCAGCATGGGACATTAAGAGTGTGTAGTATTACTGTAATTAACAATGCAAAGATTTTCCTAATTACTTTATATCATGTTCTGTCCCACTCAGAATTCTAAAATCAGATGCTCTTCCAGGAAAAAAGTTAGTGCTTTTTATGCTACAAATTCATACTTTTGTTTTGATGAATGAAAGCCAGAGTAAATCCTGTCAAGGGAAACAGGCTTAAGTTATAAAGAGTACATTTCATTAGTACATTTGTCACCTTATCAAAAGAGCCTATCAATCCATGCCAGCATTTCACTCAAAAAAACTAAAGGTCTCAGAGAAGCATCACTGCTATCAAGTGTACCCTGAAGAACTGATTTGTCCACTGTAGGAGGCAAGAGTCCCTGTGCACGCCTAGCTATGCAGCATGCACTTCAGGCTTGTTACTGGCACTTGGGTAGGTGATCTTCCAGGGCTTTTGTATGGGCAACAAAACAAAAGCAGAACATTCAAACAATTTGTTTTATTACATTTTTCAGAGTCTTTGAGAAAACCAGGGAACAGAAAGGACTGCCAATTTAAATAGTCATTAAAGTGTAAGTACTTTTTGTCTCATAAACAATTAAAATCAATCCAAAAGGAGGATAAACAATCAAGCCCACATAGCCCAGCATAAAGAAAAGGCCTACAGCTGCTTACACAGCTAAAGAACTACTTTTCTTTTTTCCTACATTGTTCCAGAAGGTGGTACAACAAACTTCTGAGATTCTCTCCCATGCCACCCTCAGATACAAACACAGCTTCTAACTGTCCTCTAAGGCAAGAAAGAGATGGGCTATTTTAGAGGTAGCCTGCTCAATTCCTTTTTCTGCAGTGTCCTTCATCTGTCTGTACAATACCTAGCATACATGCAAACCACTTTGCTCAGGGCATCTGAGTTTAATGCCTTACTATAGTAAAGTTTAATAATTAAAGAAAATATTCTGTACGTTACAGCAACAGGGAAATAAAAAACAACAAAAAACCTCAGGACTACAGATTAAGTTTTGCACTAATCTGTATCCTGGACTGACATCCACTATTAGCTTTTACTGAGAACAACTCAGATGTCTTTGTCAGAACAGTTACCTGCTCATGAAAGTAGGACAATAAACAGAGAACAGATCACAAAGCACAATACAATAGAAAAGCTACAGCCTGATGTCTGACAGCAGGTCGACATAGTCAGTGGGGAATTGGGTGATAAAGGATTACCCATGCTCAAACTCAGCCCATTTAGCACAGACATCTTTTCTTGCTGTAATTTCTTTTATTGTCCTGAGTTAACTCAGCTGCTGAGAATCCACTGGCAGATTAAGGAGCTGGGCAAAATAAAGCCTGGAAAACCACAAGTACCATGCAAGTACTCTGAAGCAATGCAGCACTGGATGTGCTGAACAGTAAACTAGCTTTGCTTAAAACAATACTCAAATTTAAAATCTGTTATCATGTTTCCATAGCAGCAGAACCCTCTTGAGGAACAGAGGCCATAAGAACTAGAATTGCTGGAACATTCAATGCTCCTGAGTGGCCGAGAGAAATGTTGGTTTTATCAGGTACTGAAGCACCTGCAGCTGAAGAGGGTTAGCTCTTCAGGGACCAAAGGAACAGCTTTTAAGACCCAGTCGGGTTTTTACAGCAACAAGCAAAAGCTGCCTTGCTCTAACTATATTGATACAACATAACAGTACAGCCCCAGTATATCATGGTTACAGAACTCACAGAGGAAACAGTTACAGAGGTTTAAGACTTACTGCCCAGGGCCTTGCTCTCTCCCAAGTTCACTGCTCCTGCGGCTGGACCAGCTGAATGGATTGTGTCAGTGCACCTCATCTACTTGGGGGCAGCTGGTTTGCACAGCTTTCAGTAAGCTATTTGAGCCAAGTAGCACTAAAGCAGATGGGCTATCTTTAACACAATCATTTTTTCTAGCACTTAAGGCTAGATAGAGCACCTTAAAATATCACAATAATTTTCTGTAATAAATCGCCTGATGAAGATACAGTTTAGGACATTATAACCTGCTGCT